TATAACATTTTTTTTTTGCGAAATTTACCGTCATATTCCAATGATGTTTTTCTTTCCCTGAAAACAGGAATAAAAGGACATTTTCCAAAAATGAAACCTAGCTAGATCGATTTTTCGCCCCCGAATCTACGCACATACTAAATTTCATGAAATTCGCTGGAGCCGTTACCGAGATTCCCATTATATATATATATATATATATATATGTATATAGATACGTTCTCTTATTAATTTCTTCTGTATGTAAAAATGCTTCTAAAATATAATAACATATAGAAGCTCATTCTTTGATGAAACCGAATAAATCGTTTAATAGGACGCTAGAAGTAAAAATTTCAGATTAATAAAAAACATTTTGTCTCAGAATAATCTTTTTGACTGGCATTAAATTAGGGCGTGGTCGTGTCGTCCTTTGTCCAAGTACTGAGCGTGCGCAATGTAGCTCAAACCCTAGTGGTGGTTACCTGGTGGTATCGCTATTTTTTATTTGTTTAAGCTCGATTTTCCTTCCGAACTTATTAAAATTTGAGATTGATAATTATAGAATATTATATATTATTTTGCTAGATTTTTAAATATTGTTCGTTCGGTTTCTTTATAAATCTGACTTACAGTAATATTAGTCGGGTACTTTTTTGCTTATGGCTTTCTTTGATTTATAAATTTACTATAACGAAAAACCCGGTTATTTTTTTAACTGAATGGAAAGTATAATAGTGACTTAAGCCTTATCCCGCGCTTTGAGTTTAATTACGCAATTGAGTTTTCATCGGAACAGTCGTTTCGTCGCATGTAAAAAAATCATTAACATGGCCAAGATAATCCCGATATCACTTAACTTTTCTCCGCTTACTCTCAATTATCACATCCACTTTGCTTATACTAGTAATTGCGATCTTAAGTTAGGATTTATTCAGTTTTCATTAGATACATTTTAGGGTACAATATTATCAGGTTTCAAATCACCATTGCACAATGTTCCTTATTTTTATTTATATCACAAAAATATTTCTTAATATGCCTTATTGCGTTTTCATTACTTAATTAAATTCAAGTTAATGTTTTCTAAATTACTTGTATCTGAATGATCTGAACCTGAAAACAGCGACACTATTTAATATCGTATTTATAGTATATCATAATCGTTTTAATATTATATCATCTAATATGTATCGATGCGTAATATGTTAATTAAAGAATCTTAAAATATATACACATTTTGTTTGTTGATAATGCTAGATGGCGTCCGTCAACCTCGAACGGCCAATAATTTCTTAACCAATCGATGTAAAAAGACAAAGACAGCGGCCACCCATCCATTTTACGTTTTCACAGTAATTAACGTACCGCTATTATTTGCAGTAAAAACATGGTACATACAGTTACAATTTTAATCGATGGCGCAATTAGTTAGGGCGTGGCAATATCCATCTAGTCTCGGTACGCTCCGAATTCCCACCGAGCATGCGCGTCGCGGGCAGCTCGCCGCTACCCTTAGGATGCTGAGAGCTCAGACGATCCTTTTCATCTCAGCATCCGCCCGAGCAACACGTCTGCCTCTGCAATAAATTTACTCTCAATCCTAAATCAAAGGCGACAAGATGTGTAAGTACATTCGACTATTGTAGAAGATTACTGAATTCGTTTCTCTCTGCTATCAGTCGAGTAATTCTAACACAAAGAGGATTCGATTAATATCTGCATCTGCTTTAAATTTAATCAGTTTAGATTTATACGCTTTTTTTATTTGTTTTGTATTTTAACTCGCTTCTATAACTTGGATTATATTATTTATTAATTGAAATAAATAGTTAATTGTAGCGTCGCAACTAAATTCATATCTATATCGATCTTAAATTGATTCACTTGTTTTTTTTTTTGTTTAATTTCTAAACTGGTTTCTCCATTATTATTAGAATCTTGTTCATTAATAAAACAAAATTAACTGTCTGAATGTATTATTTTAATGAATACATATTAAAGTGTGCGAATCGTCCTTTGTTCAAACTCAAAGTAGCTTTGTGAGCATGCGCGCTATGGCTCAGCGGCAGATAATGATTACATTTAGGTGTCACCAATTTTGTTTTGTATTAACGCTTGTTTTTACTCTTAGTTTCTCTTACTCTTTATTTCCCTCGTTGTCATCATGTTTTAAACATCGATTATTCGGTTTCTTGATCAATCTCCTATAAATAAAAGTAAAGTACCGTCGCAAAGAAACCTCGGTTTTGTTTTAAATAAAATTAAAGCTTGATGAAAAATCAATACGCGGGCGATTAATTTGGGCGTGGCTCTATCGAGTCTCGGTTGCTCTCAGGTCACCCGCTGAGCATGCGCAATCAAAGCTCGCACTGAGCATGCGCAAATTAAGCTCGCATCGAGCCCTTGTATTGGGACACCTCGTAACGATCATTGTACCGTCGAGCTTCCACCGCGCACCACGTCTTCTTGTACCCTGCTTTATTCAAAGTTCAGTTTCAAATCTCTTGTGATATTAGTTCAGTTTTTAAGTGAAGACATCATAATGTGTGAGTACTCTTCGCGTGTTCTTTTAATTTTATTTAATATTTCGCAACGCGTTTTATACATCGAGTTGAATGTTTTGAATGGACTTTTAGAAATGGTTTCAGTTAATAATTTGTTTCTTCCATTCAAATAATTACGTAGACTTCTGTATCCAGTACCTTTTTTCTCATGGATGTGTTATTGAGACTTTAAAACTTTTTTTTCGTTTATTGGATCCTAAATAGGGTGTGGCCATATCGATATTCTAACGCTTTTACACTGTGCCTGCATCTTGATTCAAACGTCTTTCGGTCGTAGTATATTATCGTTATATTTTTACATCATTAAAAGAACGTACAGATTTTGAATGTTTCAAATTCTCACGCTTTATCTGAATCTCTGGAAGTCGTCATTTCGAAGGCAGCCATTTTGGGCGTGGCTCTATCACCGCTCTTTGTCCGCGCACTGAGCATGCGCAATGTGAGTCTAGATTAATCGATCGCAGCATCCCAGACAGTGTCCATGTGCCCAGCTTCGTCCGGGAATCTAATCTAGTCACTTAGTCTTCATTAGATTTCAAACATAACTTAACAAAAGTCGTCATGAAGCGTGAGCATTTATACTTTTCATATAAAATATTTTGTTTTTTCGTTTATGCCAATGCTTGCTTTTGGTCTAAATGTAACAAATATGTTCATGAATTAAATTTTTACTTCTTACATAACAACTTTCGTTTTTCGAATATTTTGCATCGCCTTTCGGATCATCAAACGTTTATTGCGTGTTTTTAAATATCTCATATTATCGTAAATTATTCTAATCTCGGCTTTGCGACGATAAAGTTCTTTATCATATTGCGTTAGAAAAAGACCAGTGTTTTGTATTTGAAGAAATATGAAATACATGTTATTGATGACAATTTTTTTTTAATTGAAGTTTTCATATAAAGTTTGACTATTACAATATTTTTTGTTTGTACTTGATATAAAATTTTATATTGTCCAAAGTGGTTATTAGTAGTGGTCGGTAACGCAGTTGCTAAGCCATCGAATCAGGCTACGAGGGTCGTGGATTCGATTCCCACACGGGACATATATTTGATTTACGATACAGATAATTGTTCCGAATCTGTGTTTATTACCAAGACGGTTGACGTCAGGCCGGCAACCGGCCGTAAAAAAATCCAGCCAATAACAATACAACTATCATATTGTACCGATCTCACCAAGATAGGATAAAGGCAGGAGAAAGAAGATAATCATATCCACTGTAGTACATTGACGAATAAAGATATCAAAATGTCCGATTGCGGCCATTTTGAATAGGCAGGCACGCGCACCTAGTTTGCGCAGTGGAAGCCGCCATTGTTGCTAGCCCACTGCGCACTCCCGGTTCGGTCGCCATCTTCCTTATAGTATTATTGATGCGATCCGGATGTTGCTAGCGTTTTAGCAATTTAAACTTCGTGATGATTGAATCACTTTTTAATTGAATTGTTGGTTTTGAAATCTCAATATCGGTCTCATGGTGGATGAGGTGTTACCTGTTTGAACTTAATGCATTAATAAATATAAGTACCTACTACTTATTTTTGAAGTTATACTTCTTTGGGCGCGTTATGAAAAAATGATAAGAGTGAAATTTTAAGATGCGTAACACAAAAGTCACACTGCCCGCAAAACCGCTTATTATAGATGGCAGCATATTCTCAATCACATTCGCCCGTTACAGTTCTCAATAAAGAATGAAGATGGAGTTTTCATAATTTTATTATTTTTATCCTTTTCCAGTCTCTTTATTATTTTATTGTAATTAAATATTTCCATGCAATTTTACACGCACCCATTTTTTTTTAATAATATTTTCCTTCCCACTCACTCGCGGCTGTGAAGACTGTTGCGGTGCCCATTTAACTTGAACTAACAGTGCCACGTGGAATTTCAATGGACGGCTAGATCGCGTCGGATCCCACGCAATCGAAAAATAAATCGCAACAACACGGACTACCGCCGAGCGGGCTAATCCGAGCGGCGATCTAGAAATCTAGAAATCCGATCTGGTCTGGAACACGGCACGATCCAGATGTATTCGGATAGCACTTAAAGTCGGCCATTGTTTACAATTTCTGGCCCGAACGTACGCCGCGCTCGTCTCAGTGCTGGATTTATGCACAACAAGTCTAATCGTTACACGTGCATACATATAACTGTTTAAAAAATAATTTATAATCTTGCTTCACAGCCTAATACGATTTCACTTTGAACGACAACCTAATAAGCAGTGGTTAGAAATCGACAAAACCGACACCTTTACTCCTAAATTAATTTCTTTTTAGTCCATCCAAACTCCAAAGGTTGCCTGTAATAAATTACTTTTAGTAACTAGGCCGCCCATTGTACCCAACACTTCTACATAAAGTTTTTGATTTTTGTGTATTTTATTTTTGGTTTGGAATATAGTGTAGATATTCATTCATATATGCTCCATTGTTGCAGGTCACCCACAAGACATCTGGCAAGGTGATGGTGCTGAAGATGAACCAGCAGCGGGCGAACAGGCCCAACATGCTTCGCGAGGTGCAGCTCATGAACAAACTGAAGCACCCCAACATATTAGGGTAAGTGCTTCGACGCCTGCGGTCGTGGGTTCGATCCCTCGCGAGAGGGCTATTTGTATGACCCACAGAGGGTCCCGCCGGATAACACTACACCCACAGCTAGTGTAACAACAAACACAATAGTTCGCCATCGCCTCCGAGCACGGCGAGACCAACACAATGCGTACACAAGGTACACCCGCGTTCCAGGGCGGTTCTCACCGCCCCCAGCCACCGATTAGCTAAAAACACAGTCGACGGCCATCGGGGTCTCGGTCCGCACCGCAACTTCGATGGCCCTTAGATGACATGTAGTAGTTAAACGCACGCATGAGCACATGCGCGGCCCTACCCACATCGGAGGGCCCAAACCCGTGGGTTCTGGCTAGCCCACCGGTTCTGCGTCAGATGAAGCTTTAATAGTCTCGGGACTGAAAGCAAAAACATCAGTTAATACAAGATGACCCACAGATAGTTGTTTCCTATCTGCGTGTTTGTCAACGGGAAATTAACGTATGTAAAACGTCCTTGCAACACAGGACCATATTGTCTTACAGTTTAAGGGCAATATATTCACAGGGTAGTACTACACTAGGTCTTTCTAGGTTGCAGTGGGCGTCGATCGAAACCGAAGTACCACTCGCAGGGCAAATGCCTCCTCCGTAACTAGGTGTGCAGACAGTGCTATACACGTGGTCCCTGAAATATGTTTATAGAAGAAATTGCAACAGATTCAGCTGTTGCACGCGACAGAAACGCGTTGCTTTGTTCATCTGATTTTAAGTTATAACCGATGCCAATGAACGGCTACAACACCCTTAGATAATTGCAGATGCGTTGCTAACTTGTATAGGGCCCCGGGCACTTGACTCACCATACGACACGCAAAAGTATATCACTTCCACTTCCTGGCGGTTTTCTGATTTCAGGATTCTGCGAACGTAAGATAATATCACAAATCATTTGAACCCTAGTTGTTAGGTGAAGCAGATTAAACGTTTTGGAATTGTTTAAATTCTTAAAACCTATTCTGAATGCAGATGAATATTAAAAACGTGTTGTGTAATTTACTAAAGCCCTCCGTGCAAAGCGTCCTTATCTTGTAAGTCAAACAAAAAGTGTTCAGCTCGGTTACGTTAAAATGGTCACCGACCGACCATTTCTAGCATAAGTCGCCAAGTCGCTCGGCAAAATTGGATGACCGCGAAAATTCATTTCGACTATCGATAATTATTTTTGCGACTAAGCGTGGGTAACGCGCGATAAACATCTCGTATTGGGCCGCCCTCATTGCGGAGCCCATATCTTATCTGCATCTAGCGCTCGCTACGCGTAGAGCCGAGATTTTTGCGCATTGCCGCTTCCCAGAAACACCGCCGTGGTGGCGCCAAAACGAGAATGATTCATGTCCATATTTGCGCAAACGTTAGTGGAGCTTTGGATGTGAATGTATGTGTGTGTGTGTGTGTGTGTGTGTGTGTTTTTTTTCTCTCTCGTTCGCTTGCATTTATTTTATAGTTCAACGACCCGACGGCTTGCCCTCGGACCTCGCTTATTTGCCCACTCCGACCTGATCAAACATATAACTGTTAGACGTCCGTGAACATTTTGAATTGCATTCGCCTGTTTGCAGTTTGAGACCAACAACCGAGCTGAAGTCATTCGAAGGAATTATCCTCTTTAAATATTTGAAGTGTATTGTTTATTTCGTACAGGAGAAATAAATACTTCTTGGCCACTGAATTGCGCCATAAATACTAGCGTTCCGGTTTTAAAGTTTTCATTTTTTTATGTGAAAATGCGGCAAGCCGAGCGGTTCACCTGATGTTAAGTGATATCGGCCGCCCGTGGATATTTACAGCATCGATAGAGTTACAGATGCATTGTCAACTTTTAATAACGTGGGTTCCGGTTACCTCTCTCACAAAACGAAACACAGAAGTATAACACTTCCACTTTCCGGACGAATTATTAGACGAATTTTTAAGACGACTTTAACCGAATTATTAGACGAAGACATTAGAGATTATGAAACTTATCACCAAGTAATTCGCATATCAGATAACGCGTCTTCCTATGCAAATGACAGGCTATCCGGTGCAATGCACAAACGCCATTATCGTCTCGTCCCTTTCCAATCTAATCGCTATTAATTAATTATTTATCACGGTCTGCCCATTCCACTTCCACATTGTCGGCGGCGAGAAATATTTCGCACCGATTAAGCGATCAGCGGCCGGAAATCCGGTCTCGGAACAGACCCAAAAGGCGCCGTGGCACGCTCACTCCCCATCCGTTGGCACGCGCTCGCGTAACACTCGTTGCGAAATCGCCCCGAGCTCAGCTTAACAATGGGCAGCTGTGCCTGCACAACCGCCGCCGTCCCCACGGTCAGTGACCGTCTGAGATTGGATCTCGATCTCGTCAACGCTTTCGCCCGATGGATAATCCGCAATAGGAAGTTCCGCTTGACTTTAAATTTTGATCGCACTGGACGGGAGGTCTGAACTCCGATGGTCACACTAATGAAACTCTTAATTGAAATTTTAAGTGATGACTCATTATGTTGTGAGGGAAAACATTGTGAGCACATTTTCTTTGAATTCATTAAATGTTTCGAATGTGTCAAGACTATGCCTTACTTCACGTTTCGAGAACGTTCTCGTTCCACTAGCTACATAAAAGTGCCGATAGCCGTACAGTTTGAATTCGAACGCCATGATTGGATGACAGACAGACGCTGTAGCATTGAAAGACATGCACACATCCCCTCTATGTCCATTATAATCTCTGCAAATGTTTATTCCTTTACCGACAAGTTATTTATTACCTGTAAAATTATAAAGTAAATAAGCATACCCATGACGCCAATATCTGTAGTGAACGCTTGATTTTCTTTTAATTTACATCACTGCAATATTTTATTTTATTTGATCTACTTGTTACTAGGAATTCCCGTCGGCGTCATGCAAATCCAATAAGAAGGCGCTATCAGGCTTTAATGACCGATTTTACGGTTATCTCCACGAAGTATTCGAAAAATACTATGTCAACGCTTCGATCGAACGATTACGTTTGATTGATTAAATTTATTACAATGTTCAAAAACGCTACCGCCGCTGAATTGGTACGCGCGTGTATCGAAACTCTTCTGTACAACACAATGACGATGACGACCTACTTCCTGTTTAATAATGGTCACTGCGAAGTCATCTTATTCCTGACAAATGGTGTCAACTGTCGCAGAGTATATATACATCTAATATATAGAATTCTCGTGTCGCGGTGTTTGTAATTGAAGCTCGACCGATTTTCGTGAAATTTTGTGTGCATATCGGCCAGGGTGGAGAATCGGACAACATCTATTTTTCCTCTCCCTAAATGTTAAGGGTGGTCTACCCTAAACAGATCTTTCTACCCTACAAATTCCCTAGAAATAATTTAGATGGCAGAACAACGTTTGCCGAGAGAGCTAGTATATTTATATTACAGTATTTAATTGCCCTGTTAATTACTTTTGCCAGGCCTTGTTAGCCTTTACTCGCTCACTTGTACGCACAAGAACTTTATTTTGAGCGGAAATAAACATAAAAGCATAAAATAGCAATGTACACTCACAACTGTGAAGGCGGAAGTAGGCAAAAAATAAATCTAAAACTTCTTTTTACGCTTCTGCCGTCTACGGCGATGTAGCAACCATCAAAGAAGCCTTGCATCTCTGTGCAGAGATGAAACGCAGCATATTGGCCTACGGAAGAATCCTTTATCTTGAAATTTATTAGATTATGTATGGCTCTGCATAAAACTCACTGGTCAAATCGTATTCGAATACTCACACAATTCCTTTTATTTATATGCCAAATATATGCAACCGATATTCCATCTTCGTCAGAATATGTAAACTACGAAAGGGTCCGTCATTTCGTCGTCGTTCGTCATTTTCACCCCGAAGAGCCATAAGTGTACATGTATAAAAGCTTTGTATAACCGGTCGTCCCTTAGAAACTTGCCCAAAACAATGGAACTCAAGAGTTACAATAAAGTTATCATTTTTTCTTGATCCAAAGAAAACAAACTTAAAATCTCACAGCCGTTTCAAAGGCTGCTATCATCAACCACTTAAAGAAGTCGGTAACCTTTTTAGTGCATACTCTATCTGAAGTCTCTCTGTACGACACTCTTCGGAAGAGCGCCAGATGGGGGCGTCATCACTTCCTAGGAAGGATATTACTTTCGCCGCGACTTTGCGTCAGCGTCGACGCCGGATCTATTTTGCATGGTTGTTGCATCGCAATGGACCACTATGCGGACGGACTGAGAGGCGATTAGAGGAGTGTCGCCGCCGGGATATAGCCAATATCCCTCTCTGACGAACTTCAATGATCTTTTTCATCTTCAGTAGTACTTCTAGTATTCTTTCACTGTGATAGGGACACAGTAGCATCTGCTATTGCACGAATGTGCAGGCTCTGCTTCAATGGGTTAATTTTTTTTTTTCACTTAATAATGGCTGACAACGCCTCAGCAACGAGTCGTTGTGTGTCCATGGGTGACGGTAATCACTTAATATCTGGTGAACCGCCTGCTCGCTTGCCAACAGTTTACATAAAAAAAGAGATACACATTGAAGTAGATAAAGAGTGTCGTTTTCTTTCCCCCTTTCGACTATGGATAATGCTAACATCTCGTAAGGGCGAGATGTGACCATATAAGGATTTCGTCTGGTTAATGCCGCTACTTGACAATCTCTAGATTTAAAAGAAACGGGAAAAAAATACATCGCCTTGTTTCGCGCGCGAAAATCAAACGGTATACCATCACGAACCCTTTTTGATAGCTATCTGTAAGATGTTAAAGGATTTTGGACATATCTTTATAAGTAATTCGTAAACAATCGCACAATGATTACCATATGACCTTAGATAACAAAACAAGGAACACAAATAAAACGCATTAGACTACCTCGCTTAGATGATACCAATGATCAAGGAATGGTATTCCATGTATGTAACAAGACAATAAGAGATAAGTTCGGAAGTATACCAAATAGGTGTCTTGAACCGTTAGTATCATCTGCCCATTTTTATAAATAATTCTAAAACGGTGCACAACACAAAATATACAGTTATGTAATATGTGTATCAGGGTTACAGCAGCTTTCACTGTTACACGAAGGCCAGCCTCGTCTGGAGAAGTACCACGACGTCAAGTATAGTCTGGTGTGGTAACCAGGGCCCACTTTTTTCGTCTTTGGGTTGGCAACGCATCTCCAATCTCTAAACCTGTTGCAGATGTCCATGAGTAGCGGTAATCACTTGTCAGAGCGAACCAGGTGCTCGCTTGCCAATTTTTCACATTAAAAAACTACAAACGCATATAGCATGTGACAGGGTTACGTCACCCTTGATTACTTATACGTCTTACTTGAGTGTTTATGTATTTATGCACTTAATAGAAGCAATTTGACGATTGCTAGAAGGAAGCCGGTGCTTTCCACAGTTTTCCATTTAACACCGCAAGTCGCATACATGCTTGATCCGAGGTGCTAGCACTTTCACCAGGTTGCAGATTACCCGTTAACCATCGTTAGCACGTCCTCATTTATTTTATACATAACTTAATCAAAAGGCGCACAAATCAATGTTATACAAGTACCTGTCCCCCATTACACATTTTTCTCGTGATCACAGTTTTGTTACATATTCTTTTTCTCTCTTTTTACAAATGCGTTCTTGTGTTAAACGCCATAGATCAATTTCAACATAGAATAAACACGTCATGAAGCTGAATAAAATGATTGTTTCTCTTCTTAGTTGATTACACTAAATACGGATTATAGAGATAAAACTTATTATAAACTAGCGAACCATCTATAGCTGCATTAAAATTCGTTGCATAGTTTAAAAGAGCTACGTGTAAAAATGATCGGGAGCGACTGTGTTTTGATAGTAAAGTTAAAAAATTTATAAAAGTTTATCGAATGATGTGTTCGCTTTAGCGTTCTACAGTTTTATAATTTTATCGTGCACAGGACGCGAAGAAACACGTTTGACCACTGCTTGTTTTTAATTTTATTAAAATTAACTAACCCAACTGGAATTTTATCAAGATGCAAATATAACGTCATTCGGCAGCACCCAACATGGATTACATAGCTGGGTGGGAAATTCCATGTCAATCAAATGTTGACCCTAATAAACTGACACAAGTAGTTGATGTCATTCAGTGTTTCATGGAGGATATTTAGTATCTAACGTACTGAAAAACAGAATCGGGATGGAGACTTTCGGGTTTCAAGCCTAACCTTTAAGTTGCTAGGCTGTCGTTCTATCCACAAAATTAAAAATTTTTTGACTGTTCTTATTTTTATTTTATTTTACTCTGAAACCAACCCACCACCTGTAACAATGGAACGCACCTAATGAGGTACATGCATCATACGCTAAATGTGGATTTATTTTTTTATGTGAGTAGGTGGCAAACGAACTGACGGTTCACCTGATGTTAAGTGATAACCGCCGCCCATGGACACTTGTAACACCCGTAGGGTCGCAAGTGCGTTACCAAAGTTCCCTTCTCACCTTCTATTAAAGTGAGTCCCTGCTACCTCACTCACCAGACGAAACGCATAAATGTAACACTTCGACTTCACGCCGGTCTTCCGTGAGTTTGCCGTACTCTCCCGGACGGCCAACAGCCAACTGCTGCGTGGCCCTACCACTGTACTCCTCATGGTACAAACGAAATAAAGCATCCAACTTTGTCCGTCAGGTTCATGGGCGTGTGCGTCCACGAGGGTCAGCTGCACGCTCTGACGGAGTACATGGAGGGCGGCTCCCTAGAGCAGCTGCTGCTCGGCAGGCCGACGGTGCCCCTGCCACAGCCGCTGCGGGTCTCGCTGGCGGCGGACATGGCAGCCGGCATGGCCTATCTGCACTCGCTGGGCGTCTTCCACCGCGACCTCACCGCCAAGGTGGGTCGGCAAGGTCGTTTCAAGGACGAACATTGCTCCGAATCGTTTATTTATCGAATTATGAAGTGTGAATTTCATCTATCGATACTTAGTCATTTTTTTTTTTCAAATCTACCGCCGTTTCGCAATGAGGTTCTTCCAACGAAGAAGAAACTCGGTAGATATCATTGTTTTTTGTCATTTTTTTACACGTAGATGAAAACGTTGAGATACTTTAGAGTTTCATCGGTGTGGCAATCTACCGTTTAGCTTTGTGATTGTAGCGTCCGGGCGCGAATCGATTCCCGCGGCACGTTCATGCATTCATGTTTGAATCTACCACAGGCTTGCATACCGCCTCCCGTCCGTGAGCCGTCCACAGAACCTGCGGTCGAATGTAGCTTTTTTTTAGAAATATAGTGAAATAAGTTTACAGTAAAATTGGAAATAGCCAAGAGACATAATAATATATGTAGATGCAGCGATTGACATTTATGCGCATCATGATCTACAATTATCTCGCCCTTCTCGTCTCTTTTAATTAATCTCGCCCAAATCACTTTCATTGTTTTGATTTTGCTTATCTATACTTTGTGTTGTTCTTCCAACTAGGAACACTACAGATTGCACTCTTTCTAAAAAAAAAGTTGCAACTGCGTTGGCTAACTCAGATTTAATTCAAAATTATTAATAATCCATTAATTATTAATTAATAATAAAAAAATCCTGATTTGCGTCTGGTTTCTGAATCACTCCTCAGGCCACCCATTTATATGACAGTTGAACTTACTACATGGCCCCAGTGTACCAAAACTAACTTAAGAACATTTCTTTTTTCAGAATGTTTTACTAAAAAAGCACGGAGACGGTGAACTCACAGCCGTGGTGGCTGACTTCGGTCTCGCTGCAAAAATACCTCATCCGGTGTAAGTATCCTCAAGCCCTAGTGTTGAGCAATGTTGACCGTATATCAGTTATAAAGGGATCGGAAAGTTAAATCGTAGATCGGTTTCAAGCTGAACGTCCGCCAAACTAGTTTAATATACATAATCTTTGTTTTTACGGTTCCGTACCTAAAAGGTGAAACGGAATCCTATTACTAAGAGTCCTCTGTTTGTCTTTCTGTCTGTCCGTCCGTCTGTCACTAGGCTACATCATGAACCGTGATAGTTTAACAGTTAACATTTTAACATATGATGTATTTCTGTTAGCGGCATAAATACTAAAGTGGGGGCCCATACAACAGACATTATTTTTTGGCATTCTTATAACGGTACGGACCCTTCGCACGCGGGTCCGACTTGCACTTGGCGGGTTTTTTTTATATTGTATTTATTGTTTTCTAACTCGAACTCTAGCACGAGCCGTTATTTTGCGATTGAGTCCCATTAAATGCAACGCATCATTCGATCTGCCACACGCACGCGATAGTCGTGCGTGGGGCGCGCGTTTGTATCGTAGGCGGACGAAGAAGACGCAGACGCACGCAACTACGAGTCTATGAGTTTTCCGACACGTCGGCCATTGGCACCGGAGCGTTTTGCGCAATTGCGACGAACCGCTCGCGATTTCGAAACGGCTATTAGACGCCCCCGGTGATGTTACGACCGCATGCGTTTCTTGCACGATGTGGAAGGCACACATGAATGTGTTTAAGTGTACAAGAGTATTGAATTAACATCGAGCGTCCGGACACCGAGCCACCGCGGCTCCTACGGCAATATACTCGAGCAATCGGAGTTCGAATCCCGGTGCTGGCACCAATGAAATTGTTAATTTTAATTGATGATTTGTCACGTGATCAGCTGTGAAGGAAAACATTGTGAGGAAACCAGTATATTTTCAAAATAAAAAACAAAAATACCTCGCATGTCGCATAACTATTAGTGAGACTAACACAATAGTGAAAATAGAGCGCGAAGCATCGCTAAAAATGCAATAGAAAGAACCTAGATAGATTTAGATAGTAGAGATTTTCCCGCCGTGAGGTCATCGGCAGCTCAGCTTAGTTGATGAAGCGTCTGCGTATTACCTCACCCACGAGATACAAAGCGAAAGTATAATTCTTCCACCTCACATCGGTCTTTCGTGTGGCTGTGGTAATTCCCCGGACGAGTCTCCCCATTTTTGCAACAGAAAAATCATCCACGTGACCCTACCACAGTCGAAACACTTTGTACTGACTTGGGAATTATCGTCTGACGACATTGAAATATTTGCATTTGTTAAATTTAAACTCAAAAGCGTTTCTTATGAAACGTCGAATTTTACATGAAAATTGATACATAAGTTGGTAAGTAAGTCTCCACCGGTTCCGAAAGCACTTTCTGTTGAGAAGAGTCCGGAACTGGAACTCGACAGTTGTTTCCATTTATCAAAAAGGCCAGTTTACAATATAACATAGGTCATGATAGTCTTATTCAAACCCACGTGAGTATCAACGGCATTGTAAAAACTGTCTTAATGTACAGTATTGAAACAAGTAGATATAATTTAAAAAACTAAAAACCCGACTGCGTTTCTGTGTGATTTGGAAATGATTTTGATACCTAGTTGTGTCACTCTCACATTAAATAAGAATCTACTAAAATCTATCGAGCAGTTCAGGCTGCAGAGCGTGCCAAACAATTATACATACATGCAAACTCTCGAAAAACATAACCCTCCTTCTGGCGCAGTCGGTTAAAAATTTATAATGCAACTGTCCGTTGTACCCTCCCTCAGCAACGGATACCGCTTGCCCAGCGTTGGGTCTCCGTGGTGGATGTCGCCCGAGTGCCTCCGCGGCAGGTGGTACGACCACCGGTCGGACATCTTCTCCTATGGGATCATACTGTGCCAGCTAATCGCCAGGGTGAGTAGATGCCTCGCGTCCCGCTCAGTTTGTACCAGTGCGAAGGAGATGGGCAATACGGGAAACACCGGTTATAGCACTGCGTGCTTGCCCTCGCGCTCGAATCTAGCTGGGCAGCGAGGGATGGAATAATAGAGAATCTATAAATTGAAAAAAATCAACACTAAGTAGATATACAGCGTGTCGTTGTTACAACCGCGACAATAAATGAACACACATTTAGAGTATAACTTGTTAAAGTTACACGCATAGCTTGTTAAAGTTATATTAAGTATTTACATTCTTTAAACATCAATATTTACCGAGTTATTCAATTTTCCGAAACAAACAATTTTAGAACACCCTTACGTATAAAACAGTAACGTAAAGTTCATTTGTAAAGGTCACAAAGCATATGAATGGGTTGAATGGATTTGAAAGAGATAAAACATACTGTTAGAAGGAGAGATTTGTAATGCGACGCTGTGGCAACGAATGAAAAAGTCTCTGAATGTATGAATCTAGTCAGTTGTAGTTGTATGTTACAAATTTTGTTTCTTTTTTTATTTAATTGGTTTATTTGAAAAACATTTTTTTTAATTATGGATTTTTTAACGTTTTATATTTTTTTATAATTATTGGCAAGTAGCGTTAAGGTGTGTTCATTTATTGTCGCGGTTATAACGACACGCTGTATAAGAAAAATGCTAATTTATCTTTACAATAACATAATACGAACATGTTCAAATAAAACAGTTATTTTTATGGTCGAAGGTGGCAACTGGCAAGCAAGCTGTGGTGGTTAACCTGATGTTAAATTAAAACCGCTGACCATATGAACCTTTTAACAAAGTGGGCCCCGGTTACCTCACTCGGTTCGAGTCCTACACGGGAAACCTATTCGGCTAACTCGCAGATAATCCAGTTCCAGATATGGAAATTTGTGTTTGCGAAACCGTCTTGCGACACAAGATAATGCTATTCCATGGTTTTCGAAGGGAAGACTACAATAGATATTCTAGACCGCAGTCGTCGTAGGGACTTACTGTAGAGACTGACTCGTCGTAGGGATTTTTCCCACGTAAAAAAAAGGGACTTACTATAAGGTTGGCCCTTCCACACAAAATACAAATACAATGTTCAATTAACCGAATTAACTCTTCGCCAGGTGGACGCCGATCCGGACGTGCTGCCCCGCACGGACAACTTCGGCCTCAACTACGTGGCGTTCGTCGAGCTGTGCGACGAGACCACGGTGCCGGACCTGCTGCGGCTGGCGTTCAACTGCTGCATCGTGAGTTGAACCAACCCCCAAACCCCACCCCCACACACCCCCATTATGCCACCCCACCCCTAACTAACCCACTCTTTAAGAGGCCGGATGTAATCCTGAACTCTGAACTTCTATCGATTTTGCATCTTCTATCTCATACAATAGCTGAAGAAAAGAGCCAGTGACATTCGGATTTTGTTTTGATGAAACCAAAAGGCTGTTCTCACCAGAGTTGCAACAGGGTCGTACATGATTGGACGCTTTTGCTATCTGTTTTACGATTTGTATCAGCAGGCATGTTCGCCTGGTACACGCTAGCCAGCTGCACTTGTTGTTATTACTCGTATGAAGCTAACCTATACTGTTATGATGGCCTAGTACCCGATAACGTTACAGTCTTATAGAGCCCAAGACTTTGGTTGGATTAAAAAAGACCTTTGTGGTATGTATTAATCAAAACAAAAGATTTTTTTTCGTAACCTCTTTTTCGTAAAGACAGTCTTGAAAATGCTAAATTAACCATACAAACTCTCTGAAATCAAATTAGGATGGAATTCTTACCGACGTCAATTTGCGAGTTTGACAAAAGCCATGACAAATTCGAAGAAAAACAGTTTGATTACCTTAAGTACTCTACTTAAGATTAATATTCCAAGAAATCTTAATAGTTACATCGTTCTGTTTCTTTTTCCCTCAAACGACAGTAACGTTCCGCTTGTCGTTAGTGATAAGTATGACGAGCTTGTCATCGAAAAATCCGAAAGCGTGGCTAACTAGTTTTTGTCTCCATTTTAGTACGACGCTAAAGCGAGACCGCTATTCCCCGAGATAGTGAGCAAGCTCGCCGAAGTCAAGGAGGGCCTGGACGACTCCACGTGGGGTGGACACACGCCAAACAGCACATTCGACAGGTATAAACCTTACCATTTACAAGTCTGGGGATCCCTGCTTTCGAGCCTTTTTACACCTTCGTTAATTCTGAAGTCCTAGTACCGTTGTTCTCTTAAAGCAATAAAAATCTTATATCTATTGGAACCCTTTCGACCATCACGATATGATATTGAAGATGATGATGATATAAGTACAGGTACTTTTCACATCTTCGTTACTTCTGAAGTCCCAGTACCATTGTACTCTTAAAGCAATAAAAATGTTTATATCTATTGGAACTCTTCGATCATCATGATGCTTTGATGATGATGAGATATAAGTATAGGCCCTTTTCACTTCTTCGTTACTTCTGAATTCCTAGTACCATTTTTCTCTTAAAGCAATAAAAAATCTCTTATCTATAGGAACCCTTCGACGCTTCTAAATATGAAATGATTATATGCTTCTGTCGTTTTTTATTAAAGTACCAACAAAACACCTAATTATTCGGATCAATAGAAACCTGAACCGACTACATCAATACCCTTTATGGGTCTATGAATAAATAATAATGCGCAAGACGAATGTATACTCCGATCTTTGGTTGTTGTACGAATGTATACCCCAAACTGTTTGTGTTTGCCAGCGACGAGGCGGAGTCGTCGGGGCCGCGCTCGTGCCCCGGCCTGTGGGCGTGGCGGAGGCCGGCGAGGCACCGCTCCGAGGGCAGCCCGCACCACCGCGACCGTAAGTCACGCAGGGCTAGGGTTGCCACCCTCACTATCTAATATATAAAATTCTTACTGGCTCGTGCCGCACGGCGCTGGCTCGTACTGCACGGCTAGGGTTGCCACCCACACTATTTGATATATAAAATTCTTGTGTCACAGTTTTAGTGTACAAACACTCCTCCGAAACGGCTTGACCGATTTTGATGAAATTTTATATGTATATTTATTAGGTATGAGAATAGATTTATAACAATTCTTTATTATTTTTATTTTTTTCTATCCCACAAATAATTTATATGGAAAAATAAAAATTGCCGGGTCAGCTAGTAATATATAGAATCGTATATACTTTCATTGCCAATTTAGTTATTGCATGACGACCCGAATGGCGTAGTGGGTAGTGTACCTGCCTCCTGCGCCTGAGGGTGTGGGTTCGATCCCCACTACTGGAAAAATATTGTGTGATGAACATGGTGTTTTTCTAGTGTCTGGGTGTTTCTATATGTATAATATGTATTTATTTACAAAAAAAAAGTATGTTTAAGTATGTTTATCAGTTTTCTAGTACCCATAGTACAAGCTTTGCTTAGTTTGGGACTAGAAAATGTTGTGTACAAATGTGTCCCAAATATTTATTTATTATTTACTTTTTGAAGCGAGCCGTGATAGCTCAGTGTCCGGGCGCTCGCCTTTAATGCAATATACTCGAGCAACCTGAGTTCGATCCCCGGTGCCGGCACCAATGAAGTTTCTAACTTTAAGTGCTGACTTATCACGTGCTCCGCGATGAAGGAAAACATCGTGAGGAAACTTGCATATTTTCGAAATAATTACAAAAAAAATATATATTTCCAAGATATGTGAAGTCCGCTAATCCGCAGTGGGGCCGCGTGGTGGACTATGTCCTGATACCCTCTGTATAGAGGAGGCCTTTGCCCAGCAGTGGGACATGTATAGGCTGTTACTTTACTTTTACTTTTTGAAGTAAAACTTCTATACACGCACTTGACTTTGGGGCTGGGTGAATGCGTGACGAGAGTAGTTTCATTTCGTGAACAATTTTATAAATAAATATTTTGTTATATACACTAAATATTCCACGTTTAAAGTGAATAAAATTGTTAATTCATTTTCAAGTTCATGTCTTATGAATTTTAGAATAATGGTGTATAATATTAAATTATGGTGAATAATATCAAATTATGGCAGGAAGTGACACAGAATCTGAAAAAGTTAAGTTTTACTTCGTCGTGTGGTCTAAAGCTGACTTATTTTTTTATTTATATAAAACGGTTACTATATTTTTTCATACGTTTCCTAGATGTACAATATTTTTTTATACTTATAAAAAAATAATACTATATTTTCTTGAAGAAAAAAGGTGGCAACCCTACGTACGGCACTGGCTCATACCACACGGCACTGGCCCGCTCACACCGCCCGCGGGCTCACGCCGCATATTCTTTAACATAGCACTGGCTGAACTCGCGCTGTCTTTCACAACGCTCACACAAACACATGGCGCCCTGCTCAATAGCTTATCCCACCTAATTGTTCACACCGTCGCAGATGTATACCTATCTAGTTTACTGGGCGTAATTATAATGACTCACCACCTGCTTCTTTGGTAGTTACTGAAATCCTAGTACAGAAGTAAAAAAAATTGTAATAGTGTATATTATATGTCCCACTGCTGGGCAGAGCCTTCCCTGTGCAGAGGTTGGCTATAAGGTTCGCAACGCGATACGACTTAACATAGTTTTCTTTCACTGTTGAGCATGACGAGTTAACACTTAGTATGCTAAATTTAAAGCGAGCACCCGGACACTGAGCCAAGAAGAAGTCACCACTCGCTCTTTGATACTTCTGTTATTCTAGTATTTGGCTTATAAACGAAAGAAGTTGGTACAATAAATAGCTCTACAGGAAATGGAACAACTCTGTGTAACGCTCAAAGAATAACATTCACTTGCGTTTTAAGTTCCGTATCATCTGTATCTGTGTCCATTATTCTGTAATGTGAGTGTAATGTTGAGTTTGCGATCCTAAATAAATAAAAAAAATAAACGTAAAAAAATTCCGTCGCGCCAGGTGGCGTCCACCGCGGCTCGCTGTCGGAGCTCGAGTGGGCGTGGCGCGCCTGCGGCGGGGCGGGGCGGCGGCGGGGGGCGCGGCGCACCGGTCGGCGGGCGCGCTGGCCGCGCCGGCCGCGCCGCCGCGCCTCGCGCGCCTGCAGCGGCTCGCGCACGTGATGGTGCTGCGCGACGAGCACGCCGCCCCGAGGGCGCCCCGCCGCGCCCTGCACGCCTTCCGCGGCGTGCACAAGATACTGGAGGTGAGCGCCCCCGCCGTCCTAGCAGCTATGCTCTCCCGGTACTTCGTGATCACAGTCGCCACGGAGATATCGAACGTCAACTGGTTCTCCCTACGTATGCTCACCCGGTTACTATAATTATCAAGTTTATCTTCATGTTCTAGTGAACGAACTCTTAACTGTTATGCTCTCCTGGTACTTCATGTTTAGAGTCGCCAAGGAAATATTTTCTTTAGACGTTTGCTTCTCCCCACGTATATACCTGGTTGGTGCACACGGTTACCATAATTATCAAGCTTTCACCGTAATTATCAAGTTTAGCTTCATGTATATTTCATGTGAGCGAACGCTCGCTTCTTAACTGTTATGCTCTCCTGGTACTTCATGTTTAGAGTGGCCAAGGAAATATCTTTTCTTTACACGTTTGTCAGCAAACCACGAAAATATCTTTAGGATGACGTTTATCTGGGACACTCGAATGTCAACTGTTTCTCTCCCCTTATGATACTCACAGCTACCATAATTATCAAGCGAATATATCAAGTGAATATTTCAAGCGAGCGAACATTTCGCTTTTGTTCTGCTCTCCTGGTACTTACGGTGACTCACTGTGATAAAGTATGCTCGCTTAAAACCAACAAGGTACACCTTAGACTAGTGATTCTCAACCTTTATTTTTGTTGCGGCACGTATTAAACGATTTCAAAATTTGGCGGCACACAAAGAAAAAGATAAAAATTATTTACTTACTACAACACACTGCATAAATAGTTTATGACAAAAATTTTAAATATACGAAATAAACTATATATATTACAATAATAACTAAACGTTTATTAAGGGATTAATTACAAGCTAATAATAAAAATATTTTTAATGCGAAATTTGAGCTTGATGTTTTTTGATAATTTCATTTATATTTGGTCGTAAAAATGACAATGCTACTCTCATATCATCTTCTACATTTAACAATCTTGATCTTTTTTTTTTTTTTAGTTTTAATGTTGGCTAATGCCAAAAAATAGTTTTCTTTTTAAATGATATAATTTAATAATATTAACATTATTATATATTTGCAAAATTTGGCGGCACACAAAAGTGCCGCGGCACAGTGGTTGAGAATCACTGCCTTAGACTATCAAAACTGTGTGAGGCTTCGAGAGCTAGTTGAACAGAAAAAGTGTTAATTACGGCACAACTTTGGCTTTCAGTAGGATAATTTATATTTATATTGTATTCATGTATATTAATTGTCATTGTCTATATAATAGTTTTTGTGTTTAACACTGTTCGCTTAAAACTGTGTTACTTTTTAAATGTTTTCTAAAATTATATTTCATATCGTTGCTGATTCAAAACTATAACTTTGGTTCGGTTTGTTTGTGTTCTGTATTTGTTTGTGTACGCTCTTAAATGTTTTAATTTAGCGACAGGCCGACCGCAATCTGGAGAGAGATATTAGGAGCCGTCCACGATGAATCTCGCGGACTGAGCGCCCCAGGATGCGCGTAGACAATACACCTGGACAATACCCGTATCACGGAGCGCGCAAACCGCAATTCAGCACCGACAAACGGGCGGTTCTGTGTTCCTGGTACTCGCCTAACAGCTCACGAATGTTTCATAGGGAGAATCTCGAGGATGATAGGGCCGTCCGCAATAAATCCGGCGGCCTGAGCGCAACTGGGACACCCGTGAACAAAGTAAACGAGTGTCCGGGGGCGCCCAGTGCGTGAAGAGCATCAGGCGCGGCGATTGCACGGCATTACGCGCGTTGGTGTGGACGGTAAAAATGGCCAGCGCGCAACGGAAATTAAATTAAATCGTTACAACATGTCACGTTCAAGAATGTATGGCGCAGAAATGGACTTATTATTATAGAGTCGTCCACAATAGACGTAGCGGACTGAGCGATAGCTATTATGATAGCAGAAATGACGTCAATATGTTGGATGATATTATGCAACATGTCACGTTCAAATATATGTGGCGCTCCTGTATACTCGTAGACAAAGTAAACGGATAGCCGGGAGCGTAAATAGCACCGGACTTTGGGGTGCCACAATGGACAATGGACGCTGATATAAAAGTATTTATGGCAACACCATAAATTTCAAAAGTGTGTTGAAATGTGGTAAACGAGACATGGGCCATATATGCAACACTCTTGACTTAAGAACATTGCAGGGAAATGAAGCTGGTCACATTGGGTACGGATTATATATGATATAACAGTTTCTTTCAGTTCCAGCGTCTGCGTCTGCGTTTCGTGCGTTTCGTGCGTTTCGTGCGTGGGCCCGTTACGGGTATCTTGTGCACGCCGCGTTTCCCACTGCCGCGTGCACAAGATATTCGTGGCGGGCCCACGTGTTGCCTTCAACGTCCTCGCGGGTACAGCTAACTCAATATCTCCTGCCTATTGCCTGTCTGTTGTTTACTTGTCCGTGTAACATCACCGCCTGTGTGAACCGATTTTTTTATTGCCACTTTTGTATTGTGCCTATTTCACTGTGAAAATTGCATGCCCATTACGATGTTGACAATATCGTTTCGATTCGTTGTGAATAAACAAGGTTGCATTTAAAATGTGTCGGAGAATACTACAAATTATAATTTTTCATCGACACGTCTTCAAAATGTGTCGGAGAATACTACAAATTATAATTATTCATTGACACGTCTTCAATCCGATTTTATGGTATCGGCTTTACGTGAGCTTAATAACATAGTTACGTATGGTCAGTGCTAGTCAAACTTTTCGGGCTAACTAACCGAACAGAGCGTGCATATGTGTACCTTTGTGTATAACGTGTTAGTCGATAATGTTAAATGCACCCAGCCGATAAGCGAGTGAATGGTACACGTTAAAACACAATCTTATCCGCGTCGTGAGGTTTAAACGCAATATGTATGTATTGCGTTCGGTTACTTTGCCCGAACACAAATGGTTCGTGATAAAAAAAAAACTAATAAAATAAAAAGTACTTCTTTGTTGTGTTCAAAAGTTATACTTCTATGGCGTAACCAGCCAGTAATTTATGATTGTGAAAAAGACATTAAACGCAATTGTTATGGGTTTGATTTAATAACTTAGAATTACAGCTAAATGTTAAAAAGTTGTCATCGATCCCCATGGCGACATCGTGAAGGTGTTGCGCGTCATAAAAATACTCTTCTCGTTGACTCAAACGCGCCAAAAGAAGTGTAACTTCAAAAATGAAGCTGCAGTCAATTAGCTAAACACAATTAATTTAACAGTCTACGTGGTAATTATAGTACGCGGAAATAAAAATATTTCGAAGACACACAAACCCACTGCTGGGCGAAGGCCAACTTAGGCTGTTTTTTATAGTATGTTTTATTTTATTTTTTTTGTTTTTCTTTATGGTATTTTTGTTTCTTGCAGGCGGCGCCTCGCTGCTCCTCCGGGTCGCCTCCGCCGGGCTGTGCGGGGTGCGGGGGCGGGGCGGGAGGGGGGCCCGCGGCGGCCGGGGACGAGGAGCCGCGCGCCTCCTCGCTGCCCCCCTCGCCCGTGGCGCGCCGGCGGCTCGACGATGCGCCCAAGCTGAATTACAAGGTGAGCGCTAAGGCTCCGCGACGGCTATGCTCGCCTGGTACCGTGGATGGAACGATTGGCTTGAAGCTTTAATTAATCCAGCTTTAAATATGGACCTGTTGTTTCTTTTTTCTTTCGATAAGATAGACACCCAGTGAGTACTACAAATTCGGGAATGTTTATGTTCGCCTGGTACCTTCTAATTGAATCGTTAATGAATTAAAAAAAATTTGATATACTGTTCCAACTACAGTTTGCTATTTAAATGAATATGTTTGCCTAGTACTGTCTGAAAGATGCCGATTATTATTCTAGCTAACATATTGTTCAACTTCATTATAAAGCAATCCTACCTCCAAGACTAAGCTGTTCGCCTAGTCTTGGAATGAGCGACCGATAGAGCGATCGTTAGATTTTTTTTGAAACAGCGAAGACTGCTGCGTGGTCTTAACACAGTTAAATGTTGAATTCATTTGACAATAATCAATCTGCATACATATTTCAAATAACACATTTCCGTCACGGAGTTAGAAAAGTGCAGGGGTATAATATGTAAGTTTATTATGTACGTTGAATTCGATTTGTTGTAAAGTGACAACGGTTGTACGTGTTTAATCCTTGTATAGCCTTGTATAGCGTTTGCGACACCGCTCGTCCGTGTCCGCAGGGCGACTCGAGCGCGGAGCTGCGGCGGCGCGGCTCGTGCGAGAGCGGCATCTTCTCGGTGGCGAACGAGGAGCTGTGCCGGCAGCCGAGCGCGTACGGCGCCGTGTGCCCCTGCTCGCTGAACGGCTGCCACCGCTGCTGGTGGCGGCGCGGGCCCGAGCCGCCCGAGGCGGGCGAGGCGCTGGAGGCGCGCGAGGCGCCGCTGCGCGTGTGCGCCGAGTGCCTCGTCGTCTACGACTGGCTGCTGGCGAGAGGCCGCCGCTCGCTGAGCGAGGCGGCGCCGGCCGAGGGCGAGGCGCCGTTCCTGTGCGGGCCGCCGAGCGCCGAGCCCGCCGAGTCGGCCGCCTACCACGTGCTGTCGCGCTGCTGCTGCTCGGCGCGCGACGACGAGGAGCCGGCGCGCGCGCTGTCGCGGGCGCAGCACAAGCGCACCTCCAGCGTGTACACGGACAGCTCGGAGGACGTGGCCTCGCTCGGCTCGGACAGCGTCATGTGCGACGAGCGGCCGCCGCGCTCGGCGCAGATCTCGCGCATCGTGGAGTACTTCGAGCGCGCGGGCGCTGCCGTGCGCTGCGAGCGCTCGCAGCGCGGGCCGCGCTACACGAGCGCCGGGCCGCGCGAGCCGCGCCGCCGCGGCCGCCTCACCGTGTGCGAGGGCGCCGTGCGCTCCAAGCTGCCGCTCTTCGACCGCCGCCCCTAGCGCCGCGCTCCCGCCGCCATCGCCGGTCTGTAGCGTCTTTCTGTTTTCGGCGTCATTCGACTTTGCGGCGACAATGCGTTCACTTTGTGGTCGCGACGCAGTATTAAAGCGGCACTTGCCAGTCCTTAGTGTATGTTTCTATCCGTAATTTCAGTCTCGGTTGCGTTGTGTTTCAACTTCGTTTGTGGCAAATGTTTAAGTACTGATACATTGACTTATTACTTAAATTAACGATAGACATTTAGGCGATTATGTTTTTTCTTCGATATGTTATAAGTTTTTTTAGAAGCGAATCTTTATCACTATTATTGTTTACTTAAATTCGAACGTATACTAGATCGGGTCGAATACGTCCTCTTATATTAAATCATATATTTATGTAAAATACAGATAATTTCTATTCAGTGACACGTGTCTAGTCTTTTAAGCGTGCCACAAAGAGTCCGTCATTTATTAAATGCTGCCCTATCGAAAACCTTCTTCAAAAAATATTAAACATCGTTCTTAATATTAATGAAACGGAGGAAATTTAAAGTCCACTCGTTGCTTTCTCTGATTTCGGTCGGATCACTCGAATCACCGTCATGTACAAATATACATATATATACATAATATAGGCAAAAGTTAAAACGAGAAGCACGTGAATTAATCACAAATCAAACGATATTATTCTTTAGCGACGTTTTTCTACGATGAAATCGTGACTGTAAATTGTAAGACACACATTATTACCTCTTAAGCACAGATTATAAAAATTTTCGGCCATGTCGGAAGTGTATGGGACAATTTTGTAATATTCGCTATTTAATTACAAACAATGATATAATACGCTCATTTCAAAATTCGACCCACGTTTCTCCGGTTTCACATAAACAAACAAACAAACAAACACATATATATAATAATAATATATTTTTGTAAATAACCCAGTCAATGTAACGACTTTATTATTCACGTTAAAGCGGTTCCACAAAGGGTCAGGGTACTTGTAACGGTGTTGTAAATAGTATAATTGGATTGTTTAGTGGAATGTTGAAATGTATACATTATTAAATTAATCATAGTAATAATTATAATTAAAAAAAACTTGTTAACGACTAAACAACAAAAATCAATTGAAAATGTCTTCTATAAAACATATTCGCTGGGTCGCACACTAGCCGAAGTTAACGCGTTCTTCTTTCTCCACTCGAGTGATGTGCCGGTACACGATATCGATAAATCAAGAACGATATCGATAAACGCCCCTTCACTAGTCTGCGACCCGTGCGGTTAAGGAATCATCCATTCAGTGCCAAATGAACAAATAAAAAAAATTGTGAACAGTTGAAACTGAGACAGATGAGTTATTTTTCTTCCTATATTTACTCGATATCAACCAGCCGAGTGCGAATTGTACTCGATTGTGATTCAGCGTGTTGCAGTTGGGGCTGCGGTTGAACTAGCCTCATATTAGCCACGATGGATACGTAATGAGAGAGTAATTCCATTCGAAACACTCATTCGTACATATTATAGATGAATTTGTTGTGCGTACGGTGTTGAAACATGATGACGGTTGCACCGCCACGCGGCGTGGTTGGCAATTGACTATCCGTCCATGATTAGATGATGGTATATGTGCCTCAATCCCGCCTCTTAGAGCGAACTAGTGGTGCGCGTCGACTGTTGTAGCCGTTCTCAAAAGCCGTTTCGTCGATGTGAACGTTTTTTTAACGGTTTTTGAACGAGAGCAAGCAATTCGTTGACCATTAAAACAACGTCCCACCACTAGTGTAATGTTTATACGGAGAAAGACTAATATAGGTGCATCTCTTTCGCACAGACGCTTACTGTAAACGACGCACGACCTTTTCATGTAACGTAAACTGGACTTAACTGTTAATGGATGTTACGTTGCTGTTATATCACAAAGTAATAATAGGTAATATTTTTATTTTTATTTTTCATAATAAAATTGAAATAAAACTGAATTTTCATTTTAGTTAAGTAGTTGTCATTGAGTTGAGTCCGTACTATTATTATTACAAGTAAAATGACAATTTAAAAACTGCGGCACTTTAAATGCGTTTCCGATATTAGTCTTTCTCTGGAAGCAATGTACAATTTTCGACTTAAAACTGTTCTTTAAAACTCAATTTCCGTTGTCGTCAATTGTAGCAATCCGCCATTCATATTCGTTGAGTTTAATTGTTTAATGCACTTTAGTCACGTATGTGTTGGTACAGAATTTAGTTAAGTTACAAGTTTTTCCTAAACTGGAAAGTTTTCTCCTGGTAACAATTTCTTTACAAATAACTTATCTAAACTGATGTTATTAATTGGTACAAGTATTTCGTTGTCATAATATCACATTTCCATTTTGAGAGTTTTGATAAAATATTTGTAATTTGCTAAAGTTTTTATATTACAACTTCATCTATGTTTTTAATATGTTGTTGCATTTTTTTTTCGTATTGCCTCTTATTTTAATCGAATTTATTTAATCGAGTTATTTCTTAACACAACGCTGGTACAAATTTTTGGTATGTTTTCACCATATATCATATTCAATTTCAAGTTTACTTAGAATTTTAAATTATTTACTTAATTTAATTTTAATTTTACTTGTAAATGTCCAAAATTATGGATGGAGCTTGACGCTGCTTTTTGTCTGTAGTTAGCGAATAAGGAACCGCCCATATCAATATATTTATTTGTGTATATTCAAATATATGAGAGATTCGCTTTGGCATGCGATATTTCAAAGCAAACAGAGACTTTTCGTGCCGAGTAGAGTTAATATTATGTTCGTCAAATGTACCTGTTCAACGACACACCACATGTAGTTTGTGTAAATATCGTGCAATAAATGGTCACCCCAATTATGTAAGTAAGTTGGGCCAGAATAAAGAAATATAGTATTCCTTCAGTTCTATTCTATTCACTCAGCTCCCGCCAGTTGACAGCCGTCGCCTGCCGGCCAGTGTTATTTTATTTGACAGATGTCAATCAGCTGTCAACGAATGTCATTCAGCTGACACTGCGACGCTGTCGAGTTGTCACAAGCGGCACGCGTTTGCAGTCGCGTCGTTCAGCGAATGTTTCAACACTGGATACGCTGACCTATTATTAACATTTAGGGGAGGATGAAGTGGGGGGTGGGGGTGGGGTGACACCGCGCGAGTCATATCAGTATCGGAACGTTCTAGATATTAGTTATTTCGGTAATCGGTTAAGATTATACTGTCTCGCGTCTGGCGGTCTTAATTGGTTGCTCCGCGGAGGTTTCATTGGTGCTAATGGAACCTCCTTGAGCGCGAGGGACCGACGCCTCCGGCATACGACTCTTCGCCGAATCTTTACAAAGCCTCATAATATTGTAAGTTAGCTTTAGATTTTATACTCTGTACTCATTGTTAGGTAATAACACACACAACCGGTTTCGATTGCATTTATAGCCTCACGTCAGATACGAAGAGATTTTTTTTATCGTGTTACATAAAATATCCATATAGCCAAGTAGCATTATGCCACTGTTCGAGACTTTTCTAAAGAAAATATAGTTCCTGTGACGCGTTCAATGGGCGTTAAAGAGTCGTTAGCCGCCGGCAAGTCGCGTCAAGCGATAATTTATCTTACTGTATAGATCCTAACGTTCCTTGTTTTAAGGCACTAACGTTTTACTTAAGACGTTTTGTTATCGCGGTTGTGTCTTTTACATACCCGTTCTTGCAATAGTTATACATAGTTAGCCGACTGAGGCGTTTTAATTACAATTTGTAAGATGAAAAAGGTGGTATTAAATATATTTTGTTTCAATATTCGTTTCATTTTCTCCTCCCTTCGGACGTGAGAGAACCAAGTCTTATTTCTCTTCGAATTCCTTTATACAAACTATAAAACTTATAGTACAAATCCTGTTGGTCATTTCAAATTATATAATCATAAACCTGTGTAATAAATTAGGGCATTAGCGGCGTCGTACACAGGTTCAAACTAAAAATACATTTTCTTCCATTAGACAATCAAAGAAATATTTTCAGAATTAATGCTTAGACGTGCCCCATGCATGTCTATGCATGGGGCATGTTTAACCAAAGAAATATCAATCAATCTGAATGTTTGTATGCAATAAAAAAATACCCCATTTGTGTGTGCATGGAACATTATTATAAAATGATATCAAAGCAAATTATGGATTACAGCCGTGATAGCTCATTGTCCGGATTCTCGCTTTTAATTCAACATACTCGAGCAGCTCGAGTTCGATTCCCGGTGCCGGTAACAAGGAAATTAATTTTACGTGCTGACTTATCACGTGCTCAGCGGTGAAGGAAAACATAGTGAGGAAATTAATGTTTTCGATATACAGCGTGTCTTTACAATCGCGACAATAAATGAACACACATATAGAGGATAACTTTTTAAAATTGTATTAAACATTTCCATTCTTTAAACATCAATATTTACCGAGTTATTAAATTTTCCGAAACAAACAATTTTAGAACATCCTTACGTATAAAACTGTAACGTAAAGTTCATATTTTGTAAAGGTCACAAAGCATTTGAATGGGTTGAATGAATTTGAAAGAGATAAAACATACTGTGTAGAAGGAGAGATTTGTAATGCGATGCTGTGGCAACGAATGAAAGTCTCTGAATGTATGAATCAGTCAGTTGTAGTTGTATAGGATGTTACAAATTTTGTTTCTTTTTTACTTACTTAATTAGTTTGTTTGAAAAATATTTTTTTTAATTATGGATTTTTAAAGTTAATATTTTTTTATGATTATTGGCAAGTCGCGTTAGACGTGTGTTAATTCATTGTTGCTGTGGTAACGACGCGCTGTATAACAAGAAAAATATTTCGAAGATTTGAAGTCCGCCAATCCGCAGTATTGCCTCGTGATGGACTATGCTTACATAGTAACTTCCTAATACCTACATAGTAAATTCCTGTGACTATGCCCTAATACCCTCTGTGCAGAGGAGGCCTTTGCCCAGCAGTGGGACATGTATAGGCTGTTACTTTACTTTTTACTATAAAATTATGAATTGTATGTGTGGAAATAAGGAGGACAAGTTTGTCCCTCAACTGTTCGTATACGCCAACGTTTAACTTTTCTCTTTATAACATTTATACTTAAAAATAACAACCAAAATTCCAGTCTAAGACACTAACACATCGACGTAGAACAATGTAGGCAACTACCCAAAACTATAGTTAATAAGATAATCGGCGAAAAGGATAGAAGTTTGACAACAAAAAAATTATTTCCTTTAATTCTGTTACTAACTACGTTGAAGCATATTAAATAAAAAAAAAATATTATTAAGTTTAAAAGATACTAAATTGAAATTCAAATGTTTATATGTTCTCCTTTATTTAAAAAAAATATAATTTAAATTTTTATAGGTATGTTCTCCTTTACTTTTAAAAAAAAAATAATTTGCAATCGAAAACAAACAGCGTGTCTCCTTCGATAATCGAATACTTAATTTATTTTCCTTTCAAAGTATTCTCGCTGCACGCCCAACATTACCTTTCACTAAAAATCGAAAGTTTACAATATTAAACGACGAATCCGCGATACGAAACCGTGTATGAGGCTTCCGATCCACAACTAGAGAAAGAGAGGGAGATAGGAGTTTCGACGTCACTTTCCGCCCCTCACCGTCGCGTAGTAATCCCTGGCGCAGTTGTCGAAGCCGCGCTTGGCCTTGGCGGGGCCTTGCACCGGTCTCGCGCCCAGCAGCCTTCGCAGCTTGCCCATGTGCTTGTACAAGAAGGCCAGCATCGCCAGCACCAGAGCGGAGCCCGCGGCTGGCAGCCAGCCCCCTGAGCTTCCAACGCCACAGGAGAAGAAGCCGCACCCATCGCTCCGGACGCACGAGCCCTGATCTGACTGGGAACCCTGGGGCACCCCCGTTCTCTTTCTTCTCTCCCCGTCACGTGGTATCTGCTCTTCGCTCGCTGCGCGCTGGCTCTCCTCTTCGGCCTGTCGCCTCTCCGCCTCTTCGGCGCTTCAAATTAATTGAATAATTTATGTATTTAGTGTATATTGTTATGAGAGAAGATGGTAAACGAGCTGACAGCAGAGTACTTGTACTGGAAAAACACTATGTGCATCACACAATATTTTTGCAGTAGTGGGGATCCACACCCTTTGGTACAATAGGCAGGTTCACAACTCTCCACTCTGATTTGGTCGTCGAGGAATATACGCAAATTTTATTTTGGGATCCGTATATAAATTGTACTATCATCAGGCTGGTATCCATGCTATAAGTAAATATACATATAATACAAAAATAAATAATATTTATATACAGCGTGTCGTTACCACCGCGACAATAAATGAACACACATATGAGGATTACTTTTTAAAATTGTATTAAACATTTACATTCTTTAAACATCAATATTTACCGAGTTATTAAATTTTCCAAAACAAACAATTTTAGAACATCCTTACGTATAAAACTATAACGTAAAGTTCATTTGTAAAGGTCACAAAGCATATGAATGGGTTGAATGAATTTAAAAGAGACAAAACATACCGTTAGAAGGAGAGGCTTGTAATGCGACGCTGTGGCGCGAGTTGTATAGGATGTTACAAATTTTGTTTCTTTTTTACTTAGTTTGTTTGAAAAATATTTTTTTTTAATTATGGATTTTGTTTAACGATAACATTTTTTTATGATTATTGGCAAGTAGCGTTAGACGTGTGTTCATTTATTGTCGCGATGGTAAAGACACGCTGTATATGTATAAAACAAATTCGTCCCGCTGTCTGTCGGTCCCTATGTATGCTTACGCAGCGGATCTTGATGCGGTTTTTTTTACTAGATAGAGTGATTCAAAAGGGAGGTTTATATGTATAATACAATAAACCCCTGCGAAGCTGGGGCGGATCGCTCGTATGGTATATTTGTTACAATATAACAAGATCTGCAGACGGTCCTAAACGTGACAGAGTGAGATCATGGCTCAGCCACCTCCCATGAACTCGACGATCACGCGGTCATATGTTCCAAATGGACCAACCATCCTTGGGAACGACAAAACGTCCCAATCCGGAAAAATTGTCCGTGGGTCACACAAACGCTTGCCTTGTGTTGGAATCGAAACCACGACACCGACGCACAAGCCAGTAGCCTAGCAACTACGAAAGAGGCCGTGTGAGATATATTCGAGAGGGTTTGCTCCCAGTTGAACTATTGAGGTGGCCAGTGCTGGTAGGAAAAAAAGAAAAAAAAAAGGTTGCGGAAGTATCAGAGAGCGTCTAGCCACTGCACGTTCCTTTACACTGGACAATTTACAGTTGTAATTTTGAAACAGCACTCGTTGCACGTAAAATTAACATCTATATTATTCGACCTTGACAAATTATTTTCGATCGCGACTATATACCTAAAACAATTAGTGAGCTTGGAAGTTGTCTAATATAAAATGGCGGGAATAACCGAACTGTACACTTAAACGGAAAATTTTTAAGTATAGCTTCGAGGGACTACTTACCAGTCGCACATGATGGGTCTAACTGTGTATTGTATTGTGTTGATGAAGTGGTATCCCCAAAGAGTGACAGTACGAATACATATTGATTTGTTTCCGGTTAAAATAAAAATAATTGCATTACATATTGAACATTTTTAATTTATTACATTTGATAGGAATTGACAGGTCTCATGAATGACAAGAAAATTTGACAGAAGACACGAATTGCTTCTTTTATTTGTGGTACGGCCTCTATAAACATTTCTTGAGTTTTTGACACTGGAAAAAATACAAAGTAACAATTAAAGCACATTGTTGTTAGTATTTTCATTACAAATTTAAAAAAATTTTTGTAATCTTCACTATTATAGAAATTACAATTTTCTAACGAAACGTAGGTAGGTAATTTATTCAATAAACACATTCATGTACTAAGTACATGAATGTGTTTATTGTATTCCTTGCACACGTCTCTATTGCGGACTGACTTCATGTTACAAACCGGGTGTCTACTTTTATGCAGCAATGATCGTAACTAAAAAGCAAGTGTTATTTCGACAGTCTTAAAATCACCAAACAGAGATGGTTTTGCGTCCTACCCGCTTTGAACTATGGTGCGGAGACATTGACGAGCAGAGCTAGCTGTTTTCAAAGCATTCAAGCTGAAAATCATATAACGGGCGATAGAGATAACTATGCCCGGCGTTTCTCTAATTTTTTTTTAGATTTAATATTTGCAAATTGGAATGATAGTGGATTGGCCGCAACTGTCAAATCACCGATGGCAGATGGGAGGAAAGAAAAGAAGAGGAAAGTCCTAGAGTGGAAGCCATGGTTGGAGAGGAGTGTAGACCATCCGCTATGGTGATGGACTGACCAACTTATAAAGACGACTAGAAGTGGCTGGTTACGGAAAGCGGAGAACCAACATTTGGGAAGGCCAACATAGCTTATTTTGCGAAAGTGAATTTCCATTCCATGTCCGTTAGTCATCAGGGGTAATAGGGAAAATAATTATATATCGTATATATATTTGTCTAAATTTAAATAAACAAATCGTAATCACTTTAAGGAATGTCAGCGTCGATATACTCTCTCTGACATTAAATCCGAAGCTACACTTCAAAATGCATTGGATAGTTAATATAAGAGGAAACGAGGTGACTCACATCGTCCTTGCCTCCCTTCTCGCAAACGCACTTGGGCTTGGCCCCGATCTGATGCGTCTGACCGCATGGCTTGGGACACTTGGAGAAAAGCTTGAAGCCCAGGGCCGTCAGAACCGCGCCCACCGCCATACCAGCCGCGAACGGTACCGCGGGGCCCTCGCGGTCACTCATCTATGCGATCCTGGCGCAGAACCAAAACTGCCTTTCAAAGTCAACATCTCTTTCTGTACGAGAATTGAACATTGTGAACGTCACAACCTATTTAAAAAAACTAGAAACTGATAATTGTGCATTTTTTTTCTTTTAATATCTTTATATAGGTCTTCTTTAATATAGTTTTTCTGTACGTGTATATGTCACTGAACTCCTCCTAAACGGCTGGACCGATTTTAATGAAATTTTTTGTGTGTCTTCAAGTGTTTTCAAGAATTTAGATTCACAACCTTGTTCAAAAAGTTTGGAAGTTTAGATTATGGGAGTAGGATAGGATTTAAGACGTGTGTACAGGACAAAGTCAGGTCCGCTAGTGTAGTATAAAATTGAGTAAAAGTGCAGACAAATCGTTTCGGCACAGCTTGGCGCTCTATGATTTACTGATAAATCTTAAATCGAATATCTCTAATATTTTCTCTCATTCAAGATTATTACTAATTCTATTGTGTAAACGTAAAATATTTACATTAAAAACTTAAGTATAGATATGAATTGGACATTATCATGTCTTTGTAGGCTTTCGCCTATAATAATAATAAACCAAGAAAGGTGACTTGTAATATTTAATAAATAAATTGAGATGTTATATTGTAATAACTTAATATATTATAAAGTTACTTGATCACCGACACAATAAATGATTATATGACCTTTACTACAGAGTAAAAACGCAAAAGTTTAAATCTTTGTTTAAATGAGTTCACAAGCAATGTACATTTCGCGTTTTTATTATAATAAAACCGTTAAACGTAATCTCTGTTTTACAACAGAAATGTATAAATACCTCCGATACGGCATGCAAAATAACGAAAATAGCATTTTCTCGTATACTGAAGTTTCCTGAAGTTAGTTATATAATGTTGTGATAGGTCGAATGAACATTTAAGTTCTGTTGATGACAACAGATATCACGTTGACGGCTTTCATCTTATTAAAATCAAAGAGTTACTACTAGAGTATATATCTATGACTCCACCTATAGAAAAAGAAAAAAGGTGTAAAACTTTGGCTTATTGTAAACATTACAATTTAATTTTGAAATGTAAAATGTTTCTGGAAATAAAGTATTGTTATATGAAAGAGCGGTTAAATTTATAAAAAATAAGTTAAATAAGTATTACTTTTTGGAAGTAGGAACGTAGCTATATGTAGTATAGCTATAGTTCAGGGAAATTATGTACATGGCTTATTTTATTTCATGGACGAGATAACAGATGGCCCTTTTTGCTCTATTATGCTCTCTTTCAGGTACATAAAAGTACTCTGTAGGGATGCGGAAAGTCAAGAAATATATCGATATATCGACATTTATCAAAATATTGGCCTCGGTATATCAAAAAAATATCCATGTATCGGTAAAATTTTCGGTTTTGAAAAACAATGTATTTAATTCAGACTGATTCAATAATTAGTAATAGTAATTTTATAGCAAATTCATATTATTTTAATGTATGAGAAATCTTTGTAAAACGAAGGTATTTTAATCATTAATTATAATCTAATTTCTTTTATAAATTAAAATTTCTAGGTATATTATTGACCATTGGGAAAAAAACAGCTTATGTAAAATAAATTATTTTGTATAGCCCTGAATGAAATCAAAAAATAACTGATCAAAATAATATGTAACTTTGTAAAATAAAACATAAAAAATTGTTTTTTTTTTTATGTGAGAAAGTGGCAAACGAGCTGGCGGTTTACCTGATCTTAAGTGATAAACGCCGCCCATGAACATTAGCAACACCCATAGGGTTGCAAATGCGTTGCCACCTTTAAATAAATTGGCCCTGGCTACCTCATGAAACGCAGAGGTGTAAAACTTCTAATTTACGCCAGTCTTCTGTGAGGTCGTGGTACTTACCGGGACGGACCTGCCCATTCGTGCAACAGTGAATACTGTTGCGTGGTCCTACCACATTTATTACATAAAAAAATATAACATTTAGTTGAGAATTTGATTATAATTAAATTTTGTTGACTTTACATAAATATTAAAGTTTTTTTTTTTATGTGAAAAGTTGCCAAACGAGCAGACGGTTCACCTGATGGTAAGTGAATACCGCCGCCCATGGACATCTGCTACACCCGAGGGTTACAGATGTGTTGACAACCTTTTGAAAATTAGGCTCCGGCTACCTCACTCACCAGACGAAACGCGAAAGTATTTGTCATACTTCCACTTTACGCTGGTCTTCTGTGAGGTCGTGGTACTTACCCGGACGGGCCTGCCCATTCGTGCAACAGCCGAGGCTGCTGCGTGGCCCTACCACCGTAAGTTAAGTAACTTTAGTTGATACCATTAATATTTCGCATGCGAATTATAAATTAGCTTAACATGTAGTTCAATATTAATGATTTTTAACACTTCTATACCACCTTATATATGGATAATATAAAGTACAAAGCATGAAATTGTAAATAAATACCATAATTATAGTACAAAATCCAACACTGCATCCGCAACAACACTAGTCATAGACAAGTTATTTTTTTCCCGTTCATTTTACTTTTACGGCTTTGAATCCTTTAATAATCAGCTGAATTAAATTTGAATAAAAATATCGCTTGTGATACATCGGATCGGATATATCGGATCAAAATACATCGGCTAAAAATATCGATACATTTAATAAAAAATATGGATATATCGATATTTTTTCGACATATGTACTGTAGTACATACCGTAGGGATGGGCAATTAAAAAAAATATACAGCGTGTCATTACCACCGCGACAATAAATAAACACACATATAGAGAATAACTTTCGAAAATTATATTAAAGATTTACATTCTTTTTATACATCGATATTTTTGCCTTTGCCATGCCTAGTACTAGTACATATTAGAGGTGTAAAAGTAACGAAAAAAAGCGTACCCGTATGTCTTCGTTACTACAACAATTAGTACTCGTTACTATAGTATCGTTTCGTTACTCGTTACTTTCGATACCTCATAACATGCTATGTTAGATATTTTTAGACAATATTTGATAATTAATAGTTTTTGTTAAACAAGAAACAATTAAATATCATTAAAACGGTTTTACTACAATATCTGTTTTTGGATAAGAACAAAAAAACATGAAATTACGTGATAATAAAAAACCAAAATATTAATTTGTAAGAAATACTTTCTTATCTTGTTTCTGTTCTAATCTAAAACTTTGTCTACACACACAATACCTTTAATAAACAGTAAAAAATTTGGACGACGAATTTACAAATTATACTTCACTTAATAAACATAAATCTCTCTTTGTAAACGTACGTTTTTAACTTCACCGAATAACCTCGCGCATGCGTAAAACATATGATCAGCAAATGATTCATTCAATACACACATCAACGGTACTTGCGTGAACTTAAACAGTGTAGGTACCCATACTACGAAATATGCGAGCAACGATATGTATTTGTGTGTAACGTTTCGTTACTCGGTACTAGATGGCGCACCCGTTACTCAGTACCGAATACATGCGGTTTGCTACAGCTCTAGTACATATACAATATAGATAATAGATATACATAGTGGAACGAACAGCGCAAAGCGTAACATGTGTAGTTGACATTATTGTAGTTATCAGAGAAACTTATAGATACTTAGTTATTTAATGAAAATCCTTAAATAAAAGGAAATTAATTTAAGCCAGACATATTTTAATAATATAAAAATGTCATTAAAAAAGAGGCGTTTGAATGCCCATTTGATGGAAATTTATAAGCAATTTGTTTCTATTAAAGACGACGATTTTAAAAGATCGCAAGAAGTATTTAAAGGTGTATTTGAGCAAGTCAAGCAGAAAATGGGGGAGCAATGTAATTTCTTCAACAAATACAGTAGTCAGGTAAACTTCGGTGTTTTATTTTTCATATAGGATATTCTTTCTTAGAGGATTACATTTCTGCACAAAGTTAATTTAAATTTTGTCTCATATGCCCTCACCTTTTTTTATTGCAAATGCATTGAGTAAATGCTAAACAAATTGACGGGCTCATATTGCAATTAAAAAAATAAACAGAAATTCATTAATATACTTATCAAGATGAATTCTTGGGTAACTTATACTTTTCGAAAAAAAAGTATTGTATGGGAGCAGAGCTAGCTCTAATCTGCCCGAGTCGCATCGCATTGCTCTGTGACTCGTAAATGAAAAAAAAATAATCGAACAATCGATACGAATATGACGTCGCCCGCTTATAATTATATTTATCATTTTAACAGTTATTCAGTTCTTGAAGTCAATTTAATAAAATGGCGGACTTTTGTTTGTTTCTCGAAAACTAAAAGCGACCCGAGAATTCTTGTTCATTAAATCATTAACGATTTTTCCTATCGTTTAAAATTGTTTTTAATTGCGCTCGTCAATTTGCTTTACATGACATGCTTTGAAATAATGGCAAATGTTCAGCAATTTGAACAATAGAGAAAAATCACTAATGAATTAGGAATCTATTTATATTATGATTTATTACATTATCATTTATTTTATTGTAACCTTAATAATTTTTCTTTTGCAATCACAAATTAACACGCTTTTATTTATAAAAAATTGGGTATGTGGTAAAACCGAAAAGATTTAATACAAGGGTAAAGTTTTATGGTTTATAGGTATGTACCTACTTACGATAAGAGATTATTGTGACGTAGACGAATATAGTTTATTATTCTCAAAGGTTGCAATATAGGTATCTGTATAATGATATTTAAAATGGAAAAATACCCTTGTTTTAAAAAGTTTTTTGTTTTTTCTAACTTTTTAGTATTATTTTATATTTACTTCAGAATGGTATTTGAGAAGGAAGGCGCTTTTCAGTTTGCGACAATCGTAGTTTAACGTCAGGTATAGGCTCAGGTTCCATACTGTTCAAATATGCCTTAGAAGGAGGTACGGACGTGTTACTTTTACTTACGTAATTGTTACAACAGTAACACAGTATCAATTCTTCCCTATTTTCA